AAATATTTCTATTTGCAAAAAAGTATACGTCTACAGCATATATAACACCGGGAAATTTGAATCTGAGACAATAATTTTTTGTATTTGCCATTATATTACAATTTATTATAAACAAAAAAGTGAATTAAACGTGTATTATTCATCCAATTTTTGTTTTTTCTAAGCTTAGATATAAGATTATATAAATTAAATTTTTTGTAATCCATTATCGTTTTACAGTTATCCAAGTTATCAGATGGTGGTAAAAATGTTTTTCTATGTTATATAAAAAATATATTTGCATTTAATTAAAAAATATCTTTAAAATATAATTAGTAAAAAAATTATATTTAGAATAAAGTATAATAAATCTTTTTTTATAAGGTTAATGTCTAATATTAATAAATATAATATTGATATTTTACAAATCCTACATAATTAATATATCTGATAATTATAATTTAATAATATCTACTATATATCTATATACAACATTATAATATATATGTAGTTAACAATTTTCCTTTTCATAAAATTTTATTTTTATTTTTTGTTTTTAATTTAAATTTTTAATTGAAGAAATTTAATGTTAAAAAAATTATGAAATGTATAATACAAATATTAATAAAAGAGTTACAAGTGATAATTCCGCTATTTGTTTTATGCAGTATAATCTGAAATAAATGAAAATTTTTATTATTTCGAAATATAAAATCTATTTTGTTTATCACACATTTTTTAATATTTTCGTTACTTTTACTAATAGAAAAAATTTTTTTTATTTTATCAAATTTTATTTTTATATTTTTTTATATTTCGAAAATAATTTAAAATCAATAAAAATTATCATAAATATTGTACATTTATCATAAAATAAAGATTTTGCAGAGAAAGTAATGCACATTCAATTTTCAAATTTCTATTAAACTTTTTTTTTTTTCTAAAAATGATTCAAAATTATTTAAAAAGTGTTATAAATCATTGAATTTATTTTAATATTTACTCTAATTTTATATTAAATTTTATAAAAAATTTTATAAAAAATAAATATTAATATATGAAAAATTATCAATAATTTTAAAAACTGAGAAGAAATTTATCGTTATAAAACAAATAATTTTATCCAAAAAAAATTTTGCATCAATATATGTAACAAAGATATTAAAAAATCTGTGATATTTATGATATAAACGAAATAAGTATATCAATATTATTTTACTTACGTTACCAATCGACTTCGAGTTGTTAAAGAATGTTTAGATACAGACAGATTATGTGTGTTTAATATTAATACACATTTTTCTATATATTTATCCCAATCTAGATTTTGTATGTCAATGATAAAATTATCACAGTCTTTCAACGTTTTTACATTTTTTTGAAGTTCAATCATATTATCATTTTGAAATTTCAAATCATTGAGAAGGAAATATTTTAACAAATGTAATTTATAATTCATGTGCATTACATATTTCATTATTCTAAAATATAATTTTCACAATAGATTATTATATAAAAATTATTGTCCAATTATTCATTGTTTCAAAAGTGATTAAATACCTACCTGATTTTATTACCTAAAAGTTTTGCAAAAACATCATAGACAAGTGCAGGAAGTGTATGCAAAAAGAATATCAAGATCTTGAAAATATATCTGTTATTAACTAGTATAACATTAGGATACCATACCATAGTTTTGAATAATAATTTTCTTGAAAATTTTATTATACTTGAACTGTATTTATCCCATCTGAAAAGTCGAAACATATTTATATTTATAGAATTTTGAATATAAATAACATTAAAAATATAGATTTTATACTTATATATGATATTATAAATATCTTATATATGATATTATAAATATCTCGCAAAATAATGTGTATCGTTTCAATAAGTTAATGTTATAACATTTTATGAAATATTCTAATATTTATGTACGAGTATGTATAAATAAAAATATTTACGTAAGAGAATTCCCATTATTCGTGCAATTATAAATTTTAATGGTATTATCACATTGGATCGTTGTATACCATGCAACACATATTATTGTATCGGTCACATAATCAATAGGCACTATGTTTGCCTTATTATTCTTATTCCCATTGATCACTCTAATGATACCTCTGCACGCGCCAATAGTTAAATCTGTAATATCAAATCAATTCAAAGATTATTCATAATTCCATAAGAGATATTAAAAATATTTTAATGAGATGAATAAAAATAAAATAATATTAAAATAAGTAAAAATCTATCAAATTACCTGTAATTCCTTGAATTGAATCGTCTATCCAACCAGGAAACGGATGTTTAATCGCAGCAAAAATTATACTTGGCCTCACTATTGCGATCGGTAAACCTGCACCATTGATCTTTATAATCTTTTCCGCCAGATTTTTTGTAAACGTATATGTGTTTGGAAAAGTCTCTAAAATCTTAGATTCCAGTACATTCAATAGCTCATCGTTTAGGCCATTGCACATATCTATGATCGTAGAAGGTTTTATATTTATGCTGAAATATTATTAATATTATTAAAAATGAACCATTATGTTTAAAGCTATATACGAATACGAGCACAATTAAATTTATAATAAAAATTTATCTTTCAATAAACCATTTAGAATAATATTAGAATATTTAAACTTACTCGTATATCGTTTCTTCGATTATCGATATATTTGGATTACTGTAAGCTGTGCTAATGTACACGCAACTTATTAGATTTTTCATAGATTTGCATAATTCTAAGATATACAAAGGGCTCTTCGTATTCGTTACGATAGCCTTTTTTAACGGTTCGTTGAATTTCACTGTAGCTGCTACGTGGAAAACTATGTTTACTCTTTCTATTAATAAATTTTTATCGCTCGAGGATAGGCCTAAGTCTGGTAGGGTTATATCCCCTTTTATCAAATGAATCTTGTTTAAAATTCCTGGATCCTTTTTTCGTATTTCATCGAACAACTGAAAAGCATATCAGTGACAGCATTATTGGAAATTGAATATTTTCAGGAAAATATATTTTATTTACAACTCGTTTGTATCTCATAAATTTAATCTACGATTTCCAGTTTTTCACGAGATTTTGAAAATACAATTTTTCGATATTATAAATTAATTAACATCGATACGATATTTACGCAATTTTCCAAAAGATGTTTGAATCGTTGTTCGATGGATACATTGTTCTTGGATCGGATGAGGATGTAGATTGTCGAGATACGGGAACAAGAGTGCAGCAATTTTTCCACGATAGCTTTCCCCAAATAACCAGTGGCTCCGGTCACGAATATTACAGAGTTCGTCAGAAATCCTTCGATGGACCGTTCTTCGCTTTTTCGATCGTTTCCTGAATTAATCGGTGCGTTCATCCTTTCCATTTTCTCGTCTCTAATCTCAACGTATAAAGAAATAATAAAAATAATTAATTCTCTTATTTATTCTGTGCAATTATTGGCAATATTCTTTAAATTTATCCTATAATAAATAAATTTAATTTATTTTTATTTTAAATCTTCGATTGACTTCGAATTATGAAAGACCTAACGATCTAAAATCTCTAATCGAGAATAATTTTATTAAACTAATTAATATAAAAATTTTCATTGACATCTTTGAAAAATCTAATTCTAAAGATCAAAATAAACATAAAAATTGACATAGAAAAATTTATTCGTTTAAATTCACAAGCAATAAGTTTGTATTAAATAAAACGAGATGGAAGTAGTGACATTTCACCATCATCTCTGTCTCACTTTATTTAAAGTGAATACCTTTAATTCTTTATTAACTTAACAAATAAAATTCGATTGATACTTTCGTATACTAATTTTTATTTTTGATTTTATTATAATATTTTGATCTTTAGCAATATCGATAATATTTCACATAAGATTGCACAATGAAGTTTTAATTAATTTCATCATTAGTTTTCATCACAACTATATATAATATCAAACTCACGGGATTATTTTACACAGATTACACACAATATTGAAATTTTTCAGATTATTGTCAAACGGATTTTGAATTTACTCTATTTTTCCACGTGAAAAATTTCACTCTATCTCACAAACCGGGTTTACTTAACTTTGAAACAGTTCTAACTGTTAATCCAGGATATAAGTGTGTAAAGGCACTTTATTATTTTATATAACCACGAATAATTTATATCGTAAGTACGAAACCCTCGATGGTATAGCTCATCGATTGATCGTGTTCTAGAAAAGAGTCTCGTGTCAAGGCGTATGAATGTCATTTTTTTTTTTTTTTTT